TACAATTCTTTGAGGGATTTTGAAAACCAAATTTTGAAAAAAAAATAATATTTCGATGGCAGTGATTTTAGATCATTGTTGGAAAAATATGATTTTAAGTAGAGATTTGAAAATCTATGTTGATCTTGTGATACATATTTGTATTTAAAGGGACCATGGGATTTGGAAAAATAGCCTAACGGCACATAAATCTGCTCAAAAATTGTATTTTAATCAGTTAAATCTCTGTATATCTAATCTTGCAATCAAACCATTACAGCATGAAAATATATTCCCAATGAAAATGTCATTGCATATTACCGATAATTCAAAATTTCAAAATTAAATCCAAGAATTGTTATTGTTCCGATTATCCAGGTCTACATTGTATTAAACCTACTCTTTAAGCAGCAAAAGAAGTAAGATTAAAATGAGAAAATATGAAGGAATGTGTATATACCGGCACAAAATTTAATACAGATTCGTGGTGTAGGAGCTAAGGCGCCGGAGGCAACTGAGTCCCGGATACCCTTCAGAAGGGTCGCTATTCTAACACTATTTTGAAGCTTTGTGAGAAAATTTAGTTTTTGTCAGATTATGGCGAAGCATGAAAAATTTCTGATTCATTTTCAGAACCACGAATAAAATGTAAAACTACGAATTTTTATGAAAATTTGAAACGGATTATCAGGAACAAAAATATGGTATATGGATGGTATACACCATAGTATGGAGGATATATTTAGTTTGTCATTCTGTTTGTAACACCTCGAAACATACATTTTAGACCCCACGAAGTATATATATTCTTGATCAGAACAAAATTCAATATCGATCTAGCGATGTCCGTCCGTCTATCCGTCTTTACGTCGGTGGAAATGGATAAGTAGGTTGATAAAATGTTTCTCATGTATGTTATGTGCGCAGGACTTTTGGTATTGAACTTTCTTACAGTTTTTTTTTTAATATTGAACAGATGACGAGTTTAAGAATTAATAATGAAAAACCTTGTGAAAATTGGAATAGCTTGTTTCATATCTCGTACCAATTGAATATTATGGCTGCGGGAACCTCAAGTATAAAATCGTATAGAACATGTATATAGCTATAGGAGAATTTCATAAAATTACGTTCAGTCCATTATCCATTCTGTTTGAGATAATTTTACACATTTGGTACACAATAAAATTGACAAGAACCATATCAAAATTTGGACCCATTATGACGAGTTTCTTTATGGGTGGATTATCTCTTCCCAAAATATATTCAATAAAAGTATAACTCCTCAAATGTGGCTGTAGGTAAATTTTTCACACAAGGAAAACGAACGGCGTTTTCACTTGTTTTTTCTTCGATTATCGTACTTTACTAAAATATAGTTCCGGAAGGTAAATAAAAATAAGTAAAAAACAGTAAGTTAGGCCGGGCCCATCATTGAATAGCCTCCACCATTTGGAACACATTTGGAAATTTTCAAAAAAATAAAATCCGGTAAAAATGCTGTTAAAATCTTAAAATACCAACTATAGGAAATCGCCGTCATTTACGAAGACGTGGACAAATTTTGTCATAGGCCATTACAATATTTAAATGTGAAACTTGAAAAAAACTACGGCAAATAATGTAGCTAAAACTATCAAAATACCGAATGTAGAGAAGTACCGTTATATGAGTGCAATACGATAGACAGCAGTATCTATTAGGAACATCAAATATGAAATTTGAAACAAAACCGGTGAACAATGACTCTAAAATCATCAAAACATACGATGTTGTGGACCTACAGGGTGAGATGAAAAAACTGCAACAAATTTCAGACTGCTATCATTTCTATCACTCTTCCGACAGATGTTAAAATTATTCCAGTGACAGCTCATTGTATTGTTTATAAGCGTACGAAGGCATTTTGGTGAGAATTTTCCAAAACAAAAAAATATATCCGTGATGGTATCAAGCATGTTAGTGTGATTTCTTTATATTTTGGCTGGAAAACCCCAAGTGGCTATCGTTAGAGCACTCCAGCATTTAAATATGAATAAATCTTTTGTGTCTCATACCATCGCTCGTTACCGTGATACTGGTACAGTAGCTCGATGTCAAGGAAGTGGACGGAAGAAAACAGCTACATCAGCAGAAGCGACTTGATCGAAACCCGCGTCGACGTGGCCGAAAAATGGCTCTTGAGCTAACCATATCGCAATACCCCATTCGGCAAATATTGAAAAATGAGTTCGGGTAAAGCCATTGAAATTCCAAAATGTGCACCGCAACAAAAAGAAAATAGACTCAAAAGAGCTAAAGAGGTACATCGCTTGGCCCAAAGTGGTTAACTGTTGAATTTGGGTTTTTCCGACGAGAAAACATTTGCCAAAAATGTCAGCTAAAAAAAGTTATGGCGTTTGACTTTGTTGCAGCTTTTCTATCGCACCCTGTATATTTTCGAGATCAACGTAAAATTCTGAATCGATTTGAACATGTCCGTCTTTGGTAATCACTCTTACTCCCTTCGAACTTACCCAGATAACAAAAATCTTGGTCATAAGCACTTTATGCCGGAAATGACAATAGAATGGCAAATGTGATATGATAGAATGATACCTTCCAATATTCCAAATTTTGATGATTTTAACTATATTTTTCAACGGAATTGTTGAAGTCACACATATTTTTCAACGATTTTTTTAAGTTTCTTTACTAAAGTTCCTAATGAGCAGAACAGTGATAACATGTTTATTCGGGTTATTGTAGTATTTAGTTGTTGCAAAATAGTTAGGTTTAATCCCACTATTGTTGTTGTTGTTATAATATGTTCTTAATGGGCACTACATTATCCGGCAGACAAGTTTCTATATAGGTCCATGTTTCAATAGCCTTATATAACGGTTCATCAAGGGTTCCTAAATATTTTTGTTGGATAATTGACTAACATTTATGAGGTACAGGTCGAAATATTTCTCTCCAAAAATTAAATTAAAGGTATTTTCGATTTCAATGGACACCAACCAAACGGAGCCCTGCATAATCATTAGAACACCTGAGTAATTTGTTTTCAAGTTTTGTACCATGGCGTAATATTTAAATATCCGTTGAAATAAATTTTTAATGCAATGTCATTGTTGGATGTCCTTTAAACGCGTTGCTTTAATTTTAAAATTTATTCTGATTTTTTTTAAAAAATAAACAAGAAATAAGAAACGAATTTTTCATAAATAGCCGAGATATTTAAATTTTTTGTAAGTGATAAAATGTCTACAAATGAAAATTCCTAAAAATGTGCTGAAAAGTGTTCACTTTTTTCAGAATCTGCTAGAATCTATTAGGTTTGCAGATTTTTTGATATCAAAAAGGAAAAAACGGTTATCGTAGTAAATCGATTTAATTTTTTTGCTGATTCTTCAATTGTTCCATAAGAACAGAACTTTTTTTATTAATCCTAAATACCAAACGATATGGTTCGGAACTGTCTCAATAGTACATTTGCCGTCGGTGCAACAAGTTCATATTTTTTTTTTTTTCGAAAAATTATCCATGAAATTCTTTTCTTAGATATTTTTAATTGTTTAAGAATTTATGTTTATTTTGAGATCTATGCTTATTAACAATTTAAATAAATTTCCATATATGTTTCTATTTTTTTCGAATATATTAAAAAAAAAAATATTGTCGCATTACGAATACCAATTCGAATCGATAATTTGTCTTTTACGTTGCCATTCATAATAAATCTTTTCTGCGGAGTTGTCCACTTTAATGTACCTGTTTCTTTTAAAATTCTATTGAAATTGGCATAAAATTGGCTCCGAATAGTTAAGATACAATTTCGTTTCAAATTCTGCCAAAGCAACAAATTGTCTTTATTTTTCTAAACAAAGAACGAATCCTTCCTTTTTGAATTTAAAAAAAATAATTTTTTATAACCTTTCTAATTTGTTGGCATATTTATTTCTCATATTTCCCCCAAATATGTGTTCTATTCCACACAAATAAAATGTATCTCCATTCACTGTTCCAGTTAGTGCCATGGCCAAACACGAAAAACGTCCTCTAATCAATTGTCATCACTTTTCCATATTTCCTCTGCTCTGTTCTCGTTTCGTATTATTTTTTTTTGCGGAATTCTGTCGTCACCATTCATTTGCTGTCCTGTCATCAACATAGTGCAATAAGGCGTGTGATAAACATGACAGTTTTATGACACTCGACACAACCATGATGGCTAGCATATGGTTCGCTACTGACAGACCGAAAAGCCAAAATGACATTATAACGACCAGGAGAAACAAGAATCATTTAACGAGAGAATAAGATTTACATTTTCTCTCCGATTTCTACAAAATTCATTGTGAGAGTTATTCTCTGGCATGAAAAATTTGCTACCAGTTGCTCTTTTGCCTAGCTATGTCATGCATTGACAAGGGTAACCCCAAAAATTAGGATTGCCATTGTTGAGAAATTTTCTGAATGCCTCAATGTGATTGGTGGTTTTGTGGAAATGAGAGAGATTAACATTTAGCTAACGGTGCTCACTTGGGAGTTGAATGCAGGGTCGTTTAGCTTTGCTAAGAGTTTTCCGCTCTGCTCTCTTGCGGGATTTTTTGGTAGAGAAAACCGCTTGGAAAACCTGTTTGCTTCATGGCGCTGTACTGCTGATTGACAACACATGCCTTTACTGTATGCTATGCCAGGCATACTTATGGCGCATGCGAAATGATTGGCTGTTAAAGACGCCATATTTGAAAATTACTCCACAAGTAAGAGAGACAAAATATATTGGCTTCCTTGTTTGTCACAAGCAAAGCAAGCCGGATGGGTTAACTTAAACAGGTTTCAAGTGTTAAGTGGGAAATGCATTGTTTGTATGGCAGAGAGAGGAATTGAGAGACTGTTTTTACTTATCTCTCTACTCATTACGTTCGTTTGCTCTCTTGCCAATTATTCTCTGGTTCAATCGACTTGCTTGTGAGCATTGTTTGTTGCATTGAAATTCTCGCCGAGGTAAGGTACTCTTGTGTGCCCCAGCACAGAAATCAGTTCGAGTTCAACTGTCGTAGCGTTCAGACGTTTTCGGAAAAAAGCAAAAACCCGAGTAAAGAAATAGAAATATACCCCCTGAAAGCTCAAAACGGTTCTCAGCAAAAAAAAAAAAAGAAATATTGAAATAAAAAAAATTGAAATTTCAATAAGAGAAAAAAAAATCATATATAAAAGCGGAAGCTTGAAAAATAACGGAAAACAGACCACTTTGAAAAAAAAAAAGATAATACAACTATCAATACAAATAATAAAAAATATTGATAAAGAGAAGGAAATAAACCTGAAAAAAGTGAAAGTGAATTATTAAAAAAAAAATTGAATCATCCAATTTTTTTTGTGGATTACCAAGGCAAAAAAATAAATAATTTTTTTGCTGCAACCTCACCATTAACCAAACAAATTTTGTGGATTACCATTCCTGCTCCAGCGCCAGCCTTTTTTTGTGGATTAGTTCCAGTTTTTTGAAAACCCCAACATCATCATGGTTGTCTTAGAAGGTGGCGGTGGTGTTGTTACCATCGGCAATAACCAATATTTACAACCTGATTATTTGGCTCCAATGCAGACAACGGTTAGTATTAAAAAAAAGAAATAACAAATTAAAATTTCCAAATTAAATGGTTTGGAGAGAAGAGTTAAGGAAGAAATTAAGAAAATTGAAAAATACAATTTTTAGGACCAAAAAAATTAAAAATTTTAAAAATATTTTGCGAAAATTTGAATTTTTTAAGAAAGGCCTTTCAAAAATTAATAGTATTTTTGAGTCAAATAAAAATTTCAAATACATGTTTTAAGAAATTTGAGTTTTTTAGAAAAGACCGTCAAAATGCAGATAAATATTCAAAAATTATGGTCCCAAGCAGCTAATCGAAATAAGAACTTTAGTTTAAAAAAAAACCAAGTCCGTAAAATTTCTGTTTTTGAAAATTTTTAAAAAATACCAAATAATTCCATTTTTGAAAATTTAAAAAAAAAAATACCCTAACAAAACATGAAATATTAGAAAATACGTAACTTTCTATGTTTTTTTAAAAATATTAAAATACGGAAAAATAAACTTCGAATTTGCTCGAAGTTTATTTTTCCGTATTTTATTTTTCCTTAAAATATTGTCGAATTCAAAATAATATATTTTCAAAGTATTCAAAAAAAAAAAAATAAATAAATAATAAATAAATAAATAAAAAACTCAGAAAATAATTTTTCTTTATTTTTAATATTTTTTTTCATTTTTTATTTTTTTCTCTGTATTCCGAAAAAATTCAAAGTCGATAGTTTGTAATTATTTGAAAAGAAGTTTTTAGAATACAGTATTGAAAGTTTTTGAATTTTCACCTTAAGTAAAACCAATATTTTTGCCTTTGGTACGGAGAGGTCCTTTCTCTCTCTTGGCGTAAACAAAAAATTAAAAAAGGAAAAATATTTCGAAAAACTGATAGGTTCTAAATGCACTACAAGATACTAGATCTAATTTAATAGGTTTTTATTTTTAATTTTGAACTTTAAAAAAAATCCAGTCAATATTGGAGTTGATTTTTTCCAATTAATTTTAGACAAAAATTATTTCACGTTTTGTACAGAAAACAAAATTTTGAAAACAGATACCAAAAAAAAATTGAAGAAAAGTAGTCCCGACGGCTATTAAATTAGAGTTATTTTAGAGAATTGAAAAAATAAATCCAAAAAAAATAAATGAAAACTAGTAAAAATTAGGAAACTTTGAAATTTGAAAATTTGTTTTTTTTTTTTAGTTTTGAAAGTCAAAGAAAAATCCAGAAATGTTCTTATTGAAATCCAAACATTCAGAAAAATAACAAAAAATGAAGCTCTTAAGAGTCTTCATCTACAAAATCGTATTAGAGTAGAATAAAATCTGCTTTGGAAAAAAATTTTGTTAAATCTTTAAACTTCCGATCTATTTTCAAAAACCAAAAAAAACGTCGATTTAAATCTCCTTCGAAGAAACTAGATTTTCTTAAATCTATTTTTTTTTTTCAACAATTTCTCTCTTCCTAACTCCTTAATAAAATGGAAATTTAAGAAATTAATTTCTTAAATTTTTTCATATAAAAAAAAAATCCAAAAAAAATTAAAAAAAAAATGATAGGAAAAAAACTAAAAACTATATTCTTTTCTTCGATCTCCACCAAAAAAAAAACATTTTCCCTTTTAAAACCACCCAACTAATGTTCCCCCTCTTCTCCCCTCTCTCTGCTTACAGATGGATTCAAAGAAAAGTCCTTTGGCTTTGTTGGCTCAAACGTGTTCACAAATCGGTGCCGATTCGTCGGCTGTCAAACCCCTACTGGCATTGGATAAATCGAAAAAATCCGGTTCATCATCATCGGCCTCATCGACATCGTCAAGTGTTGGTTCGGAGACTTCAGGTTCCGCCAAATCACCGACCCAAGCAAAATCACCCAAATCGACAACACCCACCACCACAGAAGTCAAATTGGCCTTTAAGCCCTACGAAACGAATGTGCTGAGTCAACAGAATCAAAATACCTTCAAATCATCATCATCCTCATCAGATATGGATAACAATCGTCCCAGCTCTAAGACTTCATCACACAATGGCGAAAGCACTCGAGTACCATCACGCAACAAATCGAATAGCTCACCGGAAAATTTCAATAAATCCCAAGATTTGTCCACCTCTGGTGGTTCGAGTACTCCACATGACACAAGCCGTAAGACGGTGTCACCAGCTGGTTCGTCACAACGTGGTGCCAGTCCCATTGTTCGTTCCGGCATGGAAGTGTTGAACAATGCCAATGGCTCGGCCCAGCATCCCAAGGAAATGAGCAGCATGGCCCAGGCTGCTGCTGCAGCCGCTGCTGCCTACAAGGCTGCTGGTGCCCCATATGGTTTGAATCCCCTGTCGGCCTTGTGTTGTCCTCCTGGCATGGAGCAACATGCCGCCGCCAATCCTGCCTTTCGCCCTCCCTTTGCTGCTGGTGGTTTTTCACATCATCATGCCGCCATGTTGGCTGCCGCTGCTGCCAATGGTGGTTATCCTGGAGGTCCCGGACAACAACCCCCAAATCCCTACATTAGCTATCAACGTATCAAAACTCCCACCGGCGGTGAAGCAATTGTGCCGATTTGCAAAGATCCCTACTGCCCTGGTTGTCCCTACTCGGCCCATACTCAACAAATGTTGATGGGTGCCCCCTGCCCGGCTGGTTGCACACAATGTGAACATCAGAAATATGGCATGGCTGCCATGATGGGTGCTGGCGCCGGTTTACCGCCAGGACATCCCTATTCGCAAGCTGCCGCCGCCGCTGCTGCCAGTGCTGCTGCTGCCCGTTCCGCACCCTATGTCTGCAGTTGGGTTGTGGGTGATGCCTACTGTGGCAAGAGATTCCAAACATCCGATGAACTTTTCACCCATCTAAGGACCCACACTGGTAATCTGTCAGATCCTGCTGCCGCCGCCGCTGCTTTGGCCCAATCACAAGCTCAATCTTTGCTGGGTTCTCTCTTTCCTCCATCGGCGCTGAGAGGTGGTTATCCTGCACCCCAGCTTAGTCCCATGTCTGCGGCCGCCGCCGCTGCTGCAGCCTCACGTTATCACCCCTATGCCAAGCCACCAAGTGCCATGGCGGCAGCCGCTGGTGCCTCACCATTTGGTCCTCCCGGAGCCTTTAATCCTGCTGCCGCCGCTGCTGCTGCTGCCTTGGGTCCCTACTATTCGCCCTATGCCATGTATGGTCAACGCATTGGCTCGGCAGCTGTACATCAATAAATTTGATAGGGAACTTCGTGTGAGCATGAAAAGCAATAGCCCAACCCATTGAGGGCTACTAGTGAAAGTGATCTTTATCAACAACCATCTCATGAATGTCATACCAAAAAAGAACAAAGAAGAAGAGAAAAATAGAAAAGGAGGCAGAATTTCCAGGGATTCCTCTCGAGCAAATTGCTCCAGAGTTAAGCCAATAGAGGAGGCGTTTTCAAAACCACACACATTTTGGAAGCATATACCGCTCATTGTTGGTACACAAGGGCAACTCCCCCAGACCCTCCCAAATGAAAAAACTGAAAAAAACAATGAAAACTAAGAGTCAAAACCGTCCAAATAAATGGACTGGTTTCAATACTGTGATACTAAATTGTAGTTTTGAAAAACAAAAAAACCAGAATAGTTTGTTAGTTTTAAAACAAAAGAAAGAGAGAAAAGAAAAACATTTTACTAAGACTAACTGGAAAAAAATTAAAAAAAAACATTTGTTTAAAAAAATATTAATTTTTTCTCAATTAAAAACAAACAGAGAATAATTTATTTTTTTGTTTTGTTAAAAATTTCATCTATCAAACAGCCAAAGCATACAAAATATTTCCATTGAAAAAAGAAAAAAAAAAACAAAATTATTGTAAGGAAAAAACAATCCCAAAACTTCCATAATTTTGTTGCTTTTTTTAAAAATCACAAGAAAAAATAATTTGCTTTGTTCATTCGTTTTATTTTTTATATATAACAGAAAAAAAACAATTACATCTTTATTATTATTTTAGTTATTTAGTGCTTAAGATATTTTTTTATATATAAAAATTTAATTGTAATTTTGCCTAGTTTTTTTAATTAATTAATTGCTATATTCAACAACAATATGTCTTTGTATCCCAAAAAGAACAACAATCACAACTCCAATACAATCCAAACATCTTAGATTTGCTCTACCTATAAATATATGTGTATTAAAAACAAAACAAATACAAACTATAATTGATCTTATACAATACAAAAACAAAAAATTAATAAGAAAAACCAACACACACACACCATAATTATAATTGTATATTTTACATTTGTTTGGACATAAAAAAAAAATACTACAGACACCTTATAAATTATACTTATTATTAAAAGAAAAAACAAAAAACACATACACACAAAAAACCCAAAAACAACAAAATGAAAAAAATATAAAACAAAAAAATTTGAAAATTTTAAATCCATGCATTTTATTTGGTAGACACAATTTTTGGGAATGGCTCATAGAAGGGTTTGGAAAAAGTTGGGATTTGAATCCATCCAACTTTGTAATGTTGATCGAAATATACAAACATTCGGGGTGGGCTAAAAAACTGCAACAAAGTCAATCGCCATAATTTTTACATTTTTTAAATTTTATTGAATGAAAGCAAAAAATGTCGGAAATAGCATCAAATTTTAGAATAAGTTTAGTTTTGTTCGAATTGGTCAACTTTGGCACGAATTATGGCCTTAAAACGGCCAATGAAACCATCACACGCTGCCTGAATGTTACTCTGCGGTATTTTGGCCCATTTCCGGCAAAGCGCTTGCTTGAGGTGATCGACACTTTGGTGCCTACCCTGCACCAAAATACTCCAGAGACAATAGTCCAACAGATTGGTATCCCGTATCCGTATCCGGTGGCCATTGTGCGCTGGAAATGAAGCGAGGAACCTCATTTTGTACACATTCTTGGGTGGCACGTGCTGAGTGCGATGGTGTTGAGGAATGTCCAAGGTCTGCGGCCAAATGTTTGCGTGCCCAAGGCTTTAATAGGCCCTCCAGAATATAATATTCGGCTGGCACGGTCGATTAATACGAGCGGAGAACGACCATCTGCTGTTATGGCGGCCCACACCATCGCCATGGACGGCGCTAGAGTTCTGGTGGCCAACCGAAGGTGCACATTTACAGCTGACCTCTTTGGCAAGTAAACACTATCATTTGTTTGGACAACGAATGTTTTCTCATCGGAGAAAACCAAATTCGGCAGTTCACCACTTTCGGCCAAGCGAAGCAAATTTTTAGCTCCTTTAAGTCTATTTTTTCTGTTACAGTGTAAGTTCTCGCACTTTTTGGAATTTCAATGGCTTTACCCCGAACTAATTTTTCAATATTTGCTCGAATGGAATATTGCGATATGTTCAGCTCACGAGCCATTTTTCGGCCACTGCGATGCGGGTTTCGAACAAGTCGCTTCTTTAATTTTCGAACCATTTCTGCTGATGTTGCTGTTTTCTTCCGTCCCCTTCCTTGACGTCGGGCTACGCTACCAGTATCACGGTAACAAGCGATGGTACGAGACACAAAAGATTTATTATACCCTACACCACAAGGTGGTCAGGGTATTATGTCTTTGTGCATTTGTTTGTATCAGGCAAAAGGAAACGAGATAGACCCATAGTTCCTTTTGATGATCTGCATAGAATCACATTCTGAGTCGATTTATGCATATCCGTCCGTCCGTCTGTCCATGTATTTTTGTAAACAAAGTACAGTTCGCATTTATTATTTGTTTGGCCCAAGGACGAACCCTATTGAAATTGGAGATAATCGGTCAAAATTTAGATATAGCTCCCATATATATCTTCGTCCGATTTGCCTTTTATTGTGCACCAAACGTGTAATATCAGTTCGAATAGTATAGAATTTTGCACGTACGATCAGATTGGACCTTAAAATAAGTATGTCAAATTTGATCGAAATCGGTTCAGATATAGCTATAGCTCCCTTACATATTGTGCATCCGATTTGTTATTTTTGTCCTCCGCAGCCAGCCTCTGTAACAGCAATATTTGGCGAAATATATCAAATGCAGCTCAGAAATACCTTTGCTAAATTTTATCGAGATCGGTTCAGATTTGGATATAGCTCCCATATATAACTTCGTCCGATTTACTTTTTATTGTGCACCAAACGTCTAATATTTGCCCAAATTGGATGGAATTTGGCACTTACGACCGAATTGAGTCTAGAAGGTAGTATGCCAAATTTGGTGAAGATCGGTTCAGATATAGCTATAGCTCCCACATATATTGTTCATCCGATTTGTTGTATTTGTTACCCACAGCCGTAATGTGCACTCCGTAACAACGATATTCAGGGAAATATATCAAACACAGCTCAGAAATATCTTTGCCAAATTTTGTCGAGATCGGTTCAGATTTGGGTATAGCTCCCATATATATCTTTATCTGATTTCAAATTAATTTTGCACCAAATGGGCAATACAAGTCCGAATTTAAAAGAAACAAATTCTTCGGCATATTTAGTCCTTTGAACAATATAATTAGCTGTCACTGGAATAATTTAAACTGTTGTCGGACGAGTGGCTTAGAAATGACAGCAGCCTCAAGTTGGTTGCAGTTTTTTCATCTCACCCTGTATATGTAGGGGTTTTTAATAATTTGAACCTTATGGCTCCAAAGAGAAAATATCATTTGATACTACCATAGCGTGACACATCAAAATGAGTAATTTGCCTTATGATCATCCAATTTTCTTCTAATTTCGCAAGCCTTAATATTTTTATGAATGCAAGGTCAGGAGCAAGAATGGACAATGTCGCTCCACTGCTTCTGGTACTCCCCCACCAAGTTTTGATTAACAAAAATGTTCATGAGTGCAAACTATGTATCCAATTCTTTTCAAATTTTACACATTCGAATATTTTTACCAACCAAAGATCTGTCCTTCGATTTGATGTTTCAAAATTGGATATTGCTTCCATATATATCTCCAGGGTTATTATGATATTATTAACCGAAAAGGAGTAATTTTTTGCAAGTGCAACCGAGTTTAGCTTAGAAGCAGGGACTCAAATTCAATGAAAAAAGATTCAGATATAGCTTGAACTCCCATATATATGTTTTAACCGATTTGGGGTTTAAAGTCCCTCACGCTCGTAATATGCATTCCCCAGAATGATATTTTGCACCAGATATCAGATGCAGCCCAGAAATACCTCGGCTAAATTTTACCAAAATCGGTTCAGATTTGGAAATAGCTTCAAAATATGTCTTCATCTGATTTCACGGTGGTTGTTCCCCATATATGTAATATCAGCCCAAATTGAATAGAATTTTCACATTCAATCGATTTTTTCATTTGGTGGAACTGCGCTCCGATTTGTATTATACCATCCACCATAGTATGGAGGTTATATTAATTTTGTTATTCCGAAATACACATTTAAGACCCTTCGAAATATATATTTTAGACCCCGTCTATCCGTCTGTGGAAATCACTCTAGCTTCCGAACGAATTGAAGTAGATTGATAAAATTTTACTGAAATATATATTAAATCTGCAGGACTTTTGGTATTGAAAATGGACCATGTAGATTCACGTTTTGGTATAGCCCCCATAAAACGGTTCCTCCCGATATTCGGTACTTTGTTGATTTTAGCGACATTATTAACCGGAATTCTTTCAAATTTGGTATTTGATATTTGTAATGGGTACTACATCCTATGACAAGAGATTGTCTGTGCAGGTCCAAGTCTCCGTGTAGCCCCCATGTAAGGGCACCTCCCGATATTCGGTATTTTGATTTTGAAGGTCAACGTCTTCGTATAGCCCCCATATAAAGGGTACTTCCCGATATTCGGTATTTTGATGATTTTAGCGACACTATTCACCGAATTGCTATGCAGGTGCACATCGTCGTACATACGGCTACATTCGGTATTTTTAAGATTTGAAAAGAATTTTTAACGGATTTTATTTATTTTTTTTTTATACCCTCCACCATACGTAGTATGGAGGGTATATTAACTTCATCATTCCGTTTGCAACTCGTCGAAATAATAATTTTAGACCCAACAAAGTTTATATATTCTTGGTAATCAAAATTCTAAGACGATTTAGCCCTGTCCGTCCGTCTGTTGTAATCACGCTACAGTCAAAACGAATTAAGATAAGAAGCTAAAATTTTGCACAGATCTCTCTTTTGTCTGCAGGCAGGTCAAGTTCGAAGATGGTCCACGATATCGCGTAGCCCCAATATAGCGTACCACTCGATATTCGGTATTTTGATGAATTTAGCCACATTTTTCGACGGAATTGTCTGAAATTCTACACAAGGATTTCTTTGTGAGCACTTTATTTTATGATTTTAGCCACATTTTCCAATGTAATGGTCTGAAAATCCACTCAAGGAGTCCCTTGTGAGCACTTTACCTTCTGAAAGAGAATTGTCCACATAGGTTCACGACATCGTATATCCCCCATACAACGGTACCCCCCCGATATTCGGTATTTTGATGATTTCTGCCACATTTTTTAATGGAATTGTCTGAAAATCTACACAAGGAGTTCTTTGTAAGCACTTTACCCCCCTGAAAGGGAATTGTCTATATAGGTCTACAATATCGTATATCCTCCATATAACGGTACCCTCCCCCTAGTATTTGATGATTTAAGCCACATATTTCAACGGAATTCTACACAAGAAGTTCTTTGTGAGTACTTCACCCCCTGAAAGAGAAGTGTGTGTATAGATCCACAATATCGTATATCCCCCACATAACGGTACCCTCCGATGTTCGGTATTTTGATGATTTTAACCACATTTTCCAATGTTATTGTCTGAAAATCCACACAAGGCGTTCCTTGTGAGTACTTTATCCCCTGGAAGATAATTATCTATATAGGTCACCATATAACGGTACCCCCCATATTCGGTATTTTGATGATTTTAGCAACATTTTTCAAAGAAATTGTCTGAAATTCTACACAAGGAGTTATTTGTGAGTACTTTACCCCTAGACATAGATTCGTCTATATTGGTCCATAATATCGTATATCTTCCCATGCATCGGCACATTATGATATTAGGTATTTTAAAGATTTTAACAGAATTTTTAATGGATTTTGTTTTTTTTTTTGAAAATTTTTTAATTCGTTACAAATGTGGAGAGAGTGGAGAGTATTCAAAGTTCGGCCCGGTCGAACTTACTTTTTTTTGAAAATTTCCAACTTTGCTGGACCTAGTTTGAGACAAATCGTGTCTTTCATTCAAGAGTTTTCGTGCTCACTATCAGCCAAACAGATGGCCAGTTCTAGATTAATTCCAAAAATCTGCAAAAGATTTCATTCAAAAAATAAATAAGTAAACATAAATAAATAAATAAAATTAGTATCCAACCTCTTTTTTTTTTTGTTTTCAATGGACAACATTTTTGTCTCGTCATATAA